GTCCCATCAACACAACAACAAAAATTTCAGCCCAGATGGCCAGTGGAGTCTACCAAATATTCAGAGAAGAGCTGACATGCATTCTTTCTTTCTTCCTGACACCAATTCTACTCGACTGTGAAATGAGCATATTCCTGATGTCCAAACCAGTCAAGGATATCACTGAAAAAAGAAAGTTATAGACCACATCCCTTATGAACATAACATCCCAGCCAATAGAATCCAACAATATGTAAGAAAAAAATCAAGACCCAATGAGATTCATACCAGGCATGCAAGGAAGGTTATAACATTAGCAAAACAATCAATGTAATGATGTAATGCACCATATACACAGGAAAAGAACCACGTGGTCCTATCAACTGATGCAGAGAGAATAGTTGACAACATCAACACCCATTCCTGAGGAAAACACTCAACCTAGTAGAAATGGAAGGGAAATTCTTCAACATAATTAAGGACATATATACAAAACTAATGGCAACATTACTCCCAATGGAGAGACGCTGAAAGCATTTCCTTTATGAACAGGAACCACCTCACTGCCACCAAGCTGGTTTTGACTCACAGAGACCCCATATGACAGGGTAGAACTGCCCCTGACCATTTACAAGGCTGTAATTCTTTATGGGAGTAGAAAGCCTGACCTTTCTCCTGTGGAGCGGTTGGTGATTTCAAACTGCTAACCTTGCAATTAGCAGCCCAGTGTATAACCACTGTGCCACCAGGGCTTGCTGGAACTAGACAAGGATGCCCTATATCAGCATGCCTATTCAACATTGTGCTGCAAGCCTAGCCAGAGCTTTTAGGCAAGAAATGGAAATTAAAAGCACCAAAACTGGCCAGGAATAAGGAAAACTCTCTTTAGTCACAGTATCATGCTATACAGAGAAATTAAAAAAAAAAACTGGGCAAGAGAAGTGTGGAAACTAATTGAAAGATTCAGCAAAGTGACAAGAGTACAAGATCAACATAAAAAATCAATTGGATTCTTTTACACCAACAAAGAGATTCTTTCTTTTCCATGCATATGAGTAAGGACGCTGCTGGAAAACGTGTTGCTGAGGAATACTGAAAGTATCATGAACTGCCAGAAGAGCTAATAATGCCTAAAAGAAGTCCCACCAGCAGGCTCCTTAGAAGCACAGGTAGGGAGACATGGTCTCGTGGAGTTTGGACATGTTATTAGGAGGGAAGCTTCATTTCCAAGACTGTAACTCTTTACGGGAGTAGAAAGCCCAGTCTTTCTCCCGAGGAGCTGCTGGTGGTTTCGAACTGTTGGGATCGCAGCCCCCCATGCAACCACTACACCACGAGGGAAAGGACACCCTGCTTGCTAAGGTCAGTGAAGAAGAAGACCTTCACTGAGGTGGACTGACACAAGGCTGCAGCAACGGCCCCAGCGTTACAGTGGTTCTGAGCATGGCCCCGGGTCAGGCTGTGTCTCATTCCGTTGGACATAGGGTTGCTATGGATGGGAACAGCCTTGAGGGCATTGGGCAACAACAATAACAATACACGACTGTATAGTTGATTCTGACTCATAATGACCCTCTATAGCCGAGCAGAACTGCCCCATAGTGTTTCTGAGACTGTACATCTTTCTGCCAAAGAGCAGCTGGTTGGTTTGAAGTGCCAACCTTGTGGTTAACAGCATAATCCACTGCAAACCACACATGCACAACACACACACACACAGTGGCTCTTTGAAAGGCCAGTGGAAAGATGGAATTGAAAGGGAGCAGGATTTTTGAAGCCTCCTCATGTATGTGCATATTTCATTTCTAAAAAATGTGTCTTATTTTTTGTTGTTGTTGAGTATACCCACAGCAGAAAAATACACCACACCGACAGTTTCCACATGTAAAATTCCGGGACATCGATTACCTTCTTCAAGTTGTGTCGCCATTCATTTTGCCTTTCCTTTTCTGAGTTCTTCTTCGGCCGTTCACATACACTCACTGCCACCCGGGCTTCCTGCATCACCCTGTGAGCAGCTGTAGTCCATTTGATTCCGTGTAGGGAGTGCTTCAAAGAGCATCACACTCAAGGCTGACATTCTTTACTCGTTAAGCTAAACTAGTTGGTTTTAACAAGACTTCAGGTTGGTTTATGAGGTGAAGATTTTTCTCAGGGTGGGGTTCATACAGTCCCTGTGGCCTAAAAAATTCTGGATTCCATGAGCACTTGAAAATCAATTCTGAATTTCCCCCCTTTTGATCAGGGTTCTCTCACGGACTCTCTGATCAAATGGTCAGTAATGATAGCCGGGCACCATCTAATTACAGGTGTGATGGCAAAGGAGGCCATTGTTCGTGGAAGCAGTCAGACATCCTATGTCCCCTTCCCGTTCTGGAATCTCCTTCTTCTGTTGCCCCAGGAGAGACTAGAGACCCAATATTGTACCTTGCAAGTTCGTAAGACCCCAGGGACTAGGAGGCAGAACAGAAGCACTCAACATGCTCTTAGGCTAATGGGATGTCACATAAAACCACCATCCTGCAAATGCCAAACCAAGAAACCAAATGCCACAAGGTGTTTATTTGTATAGAATGTCGCAATTGCTATTGTGGTTGTAAATATAGCTTATATTACAAGCTTAGCCAACTCACCTTTCTATAGGTTAATGGCTTTTTGACAACGAATTCATTAAAACTTATCCTTAATCAATGAAATTTTTTTTTTCATCATAAACCCAATCTCAGTCTTACATTAGCTCTGTTACCCCTTCCCTCTGCCTTTCAATGCCTGGTAGACGGAAATACACTTTGGTCTCAATACATTTCCTGTTCTTGACTTTTGATATGAATGAGGCCATATGGTTCTGCCCTGTTGTGATTGATGTCTTTCGCTCAGCACAAAGTATTCACACTCCACCCGTGGGTCAGGAGTTTGTTTTTCTTTCTGGCTGAGCAGTATTCCATTGAGGAATTAACCACATCTTGCTTATTCATTCATTCATTCATTCATTCATTCATCCACTGATGGGTGTTTTGGTTTAACTGCTACCGTGGACAGTGCCGCAGTGCACACGGGGGAAATAATCTCTGTTTGCATCTCTGTTCTCAGTTCTATTCTTCTCAGTGGACTGATTCTGCCATCTGTTCAGCTGCACACATGTCAGGTATCTTCTTAAAGAATGCATATGTTTTCAGTTGAAATTAACAACTGCTGCCCTCCTCTGACTACCATTTGATAAAATCTCAACGTTTAGACTGTAATATTTAAACCTACATATTTCAGGGCTAGATTAAGAAATACATTCTAATAGAAACCTTACAAAATCGACAGTAGATCTTTTTGTAGGCTACTTAGGATATTTCTACATTGATTTTGCTGTACTCAGATTTTGAATCATGAAGTTCCTTGGACATAAGGAAAGAAATAGATATTTAGAAACACTGCTAATAGAACTCGTTAAAGAAAATGTGAATATCATACAGTCAACCAGCGAAATCTGATAGCAAGGCAAAGAGTTCATCACTCAAGAGTCCACCTAGAGAGCAGAGAAACCAAGCCAGAATGAAAAACTGTACAGGATCCAGTCCAGTCTGACTCAAGTCCAGTCTTGACCTGATAGGACAAGAGAGAGCTGCCCCTGTGGGTTTCTGAGACTGTCACTCTTTACAGGTTCAGAAAGCCACGCCTTCTTCTTCCCGTGGAGCAGCAGCATGTTGAGCAGCTTGGTGACTGCAGTTAGCACCTCAACTCATCACCACTAAGCCACAGAGGATAACACGGGCTTTAGACTCTGAGATGCATTTGCGTTAAGATCTCCCCTTCCATCCCCACAAGACGTGGAGCAAAATGCCTATCGTTTAGCCTGGAGTGGGTCATGCAATGAAGTAGATGATGTGAACACACTGAGTTTAGTTCCTGGCAGTTAGAGAGACCCCATAAAGGGGGGTGCTTGGCTCTATCCTCATCGTGTTCCCCAAGCAATTCCTCACCGTTTCATTATTTTCTCAATCATTGTGTATGTGGCATTTGGATCACACAATTCCTATCACATTTTACCATGTACAATAATACTCTCCTGCCACTGCTTTTGTAGTAAGACCCTGTGTTGTAGGTGAGCAGATGTATGTCTTAATGGGGCAATGCAAGCCGAATCATTTCGCTTTAAGACGTATGTATTTTAAAACACTGATGTTCGTGTCTAAAAAGTGGTTTGGCACCTCTGTAATTTATATTATTTAAAATTTCAGCATGGTTTTAATGCAGTTTTTTTTAAAGATAGTGAATCATTTTTCTATTCCAGGAAAGTAAGATGTTCTCCTTCACTAACTGTATGAATCCTGTAATATTGATCGGATGATACTTTATCTAACTTAATGAGCAATGCCATAATTTATGATGGCTGCAATTGACTTTCACGCTCCAGATGTTCTCTAACGGGACAGATAAATTAGATTGGTATACGTTTTCAAGTAATATCTAATTAGACATTAAATATATGAGGAATGATGGATTCCTTAATTCGCTTACATTTAGTGTGAATATCTATTGGTATATTAATGACAATGAAAGTGATTACTTGTATTTGACTGGTCAGTTTACAAAACACTCTTAACATATGTGTCCAAGAGTATTGCTCATACGGGCCCAGTACATACACACGCAGTGTTATTCTAAACGAAGTGTTTTAGGCAGGTTTCTCTGTGATGAGTGGGTAACTGCAGACCAATCCTCTTCATAATATGAGAGTCTTTGTCTTACTAGAGTGCTCTCAAAACAAAGGTTGCTTTTTCTGTGGTGCCGTGGGAAAAATGGAACCGTTCTGAGATCAGGGCTCCTATCAACATTTGTAACAAAGCGCAAATGAGCAGCTTCCTGAGTCAGTGCAGTCCCTGTCCTGATGGTCTCCCCCTGTGACCTGATAGTTTTCTCTTTATAAAGGGCTAAGGCAACAATCTATTAAGAAGTGCAAAATAGTATCACAGCAGACGCCCAGGGGTCCTCTCTAAGAAAGTCTCATTCGATTTGAACAAAATTCTTACCTAAGTTCTTGAAACGGGTCAGCCTGGACAAGTGGTGTCTCCGCCGAATGTTCAAAGAGAGCCCCCTCAGGACCTGGGCAAAAGCCAAAGGCGAATCCGTGAAGAAAGGAGCATAGAAAGCAGGTACATACAGATAGCCTAACAGGGTTTTCTCTTCCTTGTGGAAGCCTGTGTGGATGCTTGGAGTGCAGAGAAAATCTAGACAAGGGCTCTTCCTTTCTTCTTCAAGGCTGCCAAGATTTCTCTTGACCCCTAGCAAGAGAAGACTACTTTCAAACTGGTTACCAATAAACAGTCCAATTTTTAAATCTAGAGGGCAAAGTTCACCTCCATAAAAACAAGGAAATGAATAAACTCGTAGTGACCCTGCAGGGGCGAGTAGAACCAGGCCTGTGGGTTTCTGAGACTTTGATGCGAAGACTTTGGATAAACCTTTTACACACCAACAATTATGTAACTGAGAGCATGAATCATTCCCATGAGAGAAATGGCATACATGTCTGTGTACGTATTGTATCGACGTTCACGTGAACAGGATGCTATGATGGCAGAGTACAAAGTGCCCGCACATTCTACTCTACAGACCTATGCACCCTTGGTGGAGCACGCTAACAATCGACGTGCGTCCCAAATGCACAGGGCACTTTGTTTGAACACAGCTTCAATGATGTCTCTCTTAATAGCCTAAATTGTTCTAAGGATGCCAGTGGCACCATTTTACAAGGAAACAGCACTGCATGATTGCTTTTTAAATGCATATCAATTACTTGTCTTCCAATATGACTGCAGTTAGCTATATTGTAGCTCCATTTGATTATGGTAATGTACTTATAGGCGGTGATGCGAGCTACAAATCATAACGCAGTGTATTCAAATGAGACCAACAGCGGGAGAGACTGAGGGAGAGGGAGCAGCCTCACTCTCCCAGAACATTTAGACACTCAAATTATGTCATTCTGACCATATTATGGCTATTCAGCGACCGAGGACATACTCCTTGGAGTCTATTTGCCTATGACAGAATGGAAGTTTCCCTAAACGGTTTCATAAAAGAATTTTCAGCAAATGCTTACTGAACTTCAATGTAATTATATTTCCTTTCTGTTTCTACTCATCAAAACAAAGATCAAAAACCACCAAGATGACCTATCTAATAGGCACAGATAATGGGCTTAACATCTGTCTGTGGAGGAAAAGTAAGCACATTACTTGAAATTTTTGAAAGCCAAAATTTTAGACTGGGACAAAAATGCCATTATATAAAGCATGCATTAAGTGACCCTGTACAATTTGGCATTTATTAATACAGAAAAACATAACCAGCAGAGGTGTGTGTGTGCACATCTACACATACTGATCAGTTTCACAATGCTAAGTTTTCGCCTAGTACATACCATGCTTTCACATATAATGTACACAGGGGGCACAGCAAACTAACACTCATGGGGGTTGCAAAAAATACAACGTGTGCCTTATTTTTGTAAAACTATGGTAAGAATCCACTCAGCTATCTTAAACCGAAAGAATGGAGGAAAAAAGTCAAACTTCGACTAATGAAAGATTCTATGGTCAAAATATTAGATGATTCACGAAGCATCAAAGGAAGAGAGAAAGGATACACAGAGTCATTGTACCAAAAGGAATGAGTTGATGTTCCACTGTTTCAGGAGGTAGCATGTGAGCAAGAACTAATGGTGGTGAAGGAAGAAGTTCAAGTTGCACTGAAAGCATTAGCCAAAAACCAGACTCCGGGAACTGATGGAACCCCTCTGAAATGCTTCAGGAAGCTGAAGAAAGCCTAGAAGCACTCCCTCATCTACGCCAGAAAATTTGGAAGACAGCTACTTGGTCAACTGATGGAAACGACCCATATGTGTGCTCATCCTAAAGAAAGGTGACCCATCAGAATGCTCAGATATTAGAACAAAATCATTGATAACATATTTAAGTAAAATCTTGCTGAAGCCCCTCCAACAACGGTTGCAGCATATTGCAGCACATTGACAGGGAGCTGTCAGAGCTTCAGGCAGGATTCAGAAGAGGACATGGAATAAGGAAGATCATTGCTAATGTCAGATGAATCCTGGCTCAAAGCAGAGACTACCAGCAATATGTTTGTGTTTTATCGACAATGCAAATCATTTGACTATGTGGATCATAACAAACTCTTGATGAACTTGAGCAGAATGGGAATCCCAGAACACTTGATGATGCTCCCGGGGAACTTGCACGTGGATCAGGAGGCAGTCGTGGGACTAGAAGAAGGGAGCAATTGGTGGTCCTATTCTCCTGGGAACAATTACACTCTACCAAGATTCATGCTTCCTTGGCATGCCTCAGATGGATTGATCCAGAAACTGGTCAAGCGGTTTTTTTTTAAATCAGTTTCCTAAGGGAGGAGTCAGGTAGAGGACTGACTACCTCATCAGCAGCCATGCAGCCAGTTATTGTGAGGGAAGAACAGACTTTAAATCTAAAGATCCCGCAATCTCCAAGGATGCACCAGGGAGCTCTCACTGCACAAAGGCATCTGGCCACGCGAGTAGTCTTTCCAGTACTAGGCAAACACCAGTGCACCTTTCTTAAGTTTATAATGTCCTTTATTATAGTAAGAAATTCAGAGACATTGCCCTAGTGTGTACTTTGAGATTAGGTTATGGATTTTATAGTTTGTTTTGTCAGGAATTTAACTATCACTTAAGATTCTGATTTCCTACATCAGAGAACAATCTTATTTATATATTGTATTTGGCAGTCTTTAGAGAATAAAGTAAAAATTGCCTCTTTAGATGTATTAGAAAAGTGCTAGAATGAATTTGACAAGTGTCTGACTGTTCACATCATAGTCTCTACAGAAGCTCAGAAAATGATTTTGGAGTGTAATCTGAACACTCCCTTTCTAATGTAAAATTTCTTTATTTCTTTTTTTAATTTTATTTTATTTATTTATCTATTTATTTATTTATTTATTTAGTTATTTTTTAAATTTCTTTATTTCATCCTAACCGTCAGGCTACCAAATTCCATCCAACCTGTAGTTCAAGGTTTTGCAGACACATAGGGAACGCAAGGAGCCAACACAATGGGAATAAAAGGACCTTACAAGAGCACTATTTTGTAAAAGTCACATGGGAAGCAGGCATCGGAGCTGCGTGGCTGGTCGAGGAGGGTGGGATACGCTTTGGGGCTGTGTCAAATGGACAGAGGTAAAGGGTGGCAGTGAGTCTGTGAAGGAGAATTCATTCTTCTGAAGATTATCAAAGGGTAGCTAAAGAAGTGCCAGGAAGAGAAGTCTATAATTCAAATGGGCTTTTCTTAGTAGCCAGAGAGAGAGCGTTCAGGGAAAATGTGCCGAAAGTGCAATTGACTTGTCCGGCGGTGTCCTCTGCGGGCACTGTTTGCTCACTGTGGTACATACCAGTCACTCGGAGTCTCCCTGTACCAACGGCCACTTCCTTTTCATCAGCTGTGAACAGTGGCTTGCCATCCTTGGAGTTGATCTGAAACTGCTGATTCTGAACTTCCACCATTTGGGGACCTGAGGGATTCATGAAAACAGTTCACGATAGTGTGTGTTTGCTATATACGGAGTCTTCAACTCTCTACTTTAATAAAAGTCATGCCACCCAGAGCTGCCAAGCTACGAAACAGTTAGGGTTTGTTGAAAGTACTGCCCTTTCTGCTCCTATGATGGAATGTTGTCAATTACAAGGCTACCTAGGAAGGGCCTTCAAACATTCTGCGGACCTGGTAAAAGGTCTGTGAGTAAGTTGCCATTCTAACTGCGGTGACCCGGGGCAGAGGAAAACCACGAAATCTTTAATATCAAGAGAAAAACAAACAAGCTTAGCTAGGAATCTCAGGGGACAGTGAATTCATGCTGAAGGAGGAAGGAAATCTCAGACACGGACAGTGAGAATGGACGCCAGCCGTGTCACTGAATAGCACGAGCCTGGACGAAGGGTTGAATCAGTGCATATCTTCCGAGCGACATTCTCAATGATAACAACTTTAAAAAACAGTTTGTGGAGAACTTACATTATCTGCCAAACAGAATTTGAGTTTTTGACATTCCCCTGTGTAGGATTAAAATGATTCTATATCCAATAGACATTACTGTGTTTTGTTTTTTCAGGTTTCTAAACCACACCCCAAATAATATAATTCTTCGACTTAGAAATGTTAAATTCCCATTCCTTTGAGTATTAACCAACAGAGGATTTTGCATCCTGAACCTTGATTTGGAAATGATCATTTTATGAATGACTCACTCTAATTGCTACAGTTAATTGAGGAGATGGATCATTTTCAGATTTTTTACTCTGCCTGTATTCTAACACGGGGTTCTAAGCTCTGACTCCCCTGTAGCAAATGGGCCTCACTGTGTGAAAGCCCTCTCTGGTAAATGCTTTCCCAGCACCTAAAACATTCTCTCTTCACGGATCTCGTTTCTTCCACTGCAGGGACAGGGCCTTCTCTTCCTGCCAAGGTTAAGCCCTTCACCTGGGCTTTAGCGGGTCTCAACCATCCTAGTGCCGCGACCCGTTCATACAGTTCCTCATGTTGTGGTGACCCCCGTTCCAACCATAAAATTATTTTCATTGCTTCCTCATAACTGTCATTTTGCTACTGTTATGAATCGGGCGACCCCTGTGAGAGGGTTGTTGGACCCCCAAAGGGGTCATGACCCATAGGTTGAGAACTGCTGCTTCAGACCTATGCCTTCCTAGTCATTTACTCACGAAGTGCTTGCTTGCTTGACCCGCCAAGTGCTTAACAAACAGGTGCCCAAGGAGCATTGTCTTAGGTAAGTCTGCTGCGGAAGACCTCTTTAGAGCGTTGAAAAGCAAGGCGATGGCTTTGAAGACTAAGGTGCTCCTGACCCAAACCGTGGTACTTTCAATTGCCTCATATGCATGTGACAGTTGGACACTGAATATGAAAAACTAAAGCAGAATTAATGCGTTTGAACTGTGGGGCTGGAGAGGGCTATTGAAAGCACCGTGGACCGCTCAAAGGACACACTGATGTGTTTTGGAAGCAGTGTGGCCAGAGTGCTCCTCAGAGGCAAGGCTGGCGAGACATCTTCTTACAGACTTTGGACATGCCAGTTCCCAGAGAAGGACATCATGTGTGCAGAAGTGGAGGGGCAGCGAAAGAGAGGAAGGTTCTCCAGGAGCAGGGTGGACACTGTGGCTGCCACCGTAGCTGAAGCACAGGGGGACATGGAGATGACAGCACAGGATCAGACAGCGTTTCCTTCGCGGTTATGCATAGGCTGTCCTGGATGCTTGTTTGTCTGTTTGCTAGGTGTCATCGACTAGGTTGCAGTGAAGAGACTTGAGGGAGTTAGTTTACTGTGCCAACCAAGCCGATAAACACATGCGGGGTTAATTGAAGGACAGAAGGATAAATGGCTCAGTGAGCCTCGCCTTTCTAGTTCTAGGGTCTCTTGCTTTGTGAAGGTCGGGCCAGGGTGCAACTGCCTTAGCCAGTTCCCTGCTTCAGCTGGCAAGGCTCACTTCCTGTGAGACGTCCCTGAGGAGAAGCCACATGGACCTACCCTGATGCAGTCCTGGGTGCTGGAGTAACCATGTGGAGAACCCTGTCACCGCTCAGATGCTTACACATTCACTGACTCAGCTTTTCTCCTGCAGTCGGCATCATTGCGTGTTTTGTGAGATGGAGGAGGACTTTGTGGATTGGTGTTGGACATATGGGCTAATGTTGGAATTGTGGGCTTGGGCAGCACTGGGTTGGGATGTTTTCTTGATACACACTTAACCTTTATATAAAACTCTCTCTTACACATATGAATTTCCGTGGATTTGTTTCTCTAAAGTAGCCAGACTAATACAAGACTCAATGGCGCCTAACAAGAAGGCACCCTGGTGGCTGAGGATTAGAGGGTTTGGGCTGCTAGCAAAAAAGTTAGCAGTTCAAATTTGCTGGCTGCTCTGCGGGAATAAGGATATAACCTGTACGTCTAACGATCTACAATCCTGGAAATCTTGTGGAGAAGTTCTCCTCTGTCCTATAGGGAGACTCTGGGTTAGAATCAGTGCAACAGTCATGAGTAGCAGAGCAATGGTACCACGTAGGAGGAACTGGGGGACCTGACGCGCTCAGGAGTTTAGAAGATCTGGTCTGGTTTTCCACCCCCTTATGTTCAGACCCTCCTGAGCTGATCCCAGGATTTATTCAGTTATGTCTCCACCATCAATTCTCATGAAATCTGTAGTCAAGAGATCAAATGGTATATTACATTGGGCAAATCTGTTGCAATAGGGCTGGTTAAAGTGCTCAAGGGAAAGGATGTCTCTTTGAAGACTCAGGTGAGCCTGCCCCAAGCCATGGTACTTTCATGCATCTCATATGCGTGGGAAAGCTGGACACTGGATAAGGAAGACCTCAGAAGAACGGATGCCTTTGAATGATGACCTTGGAAAGGGATGTGGAACCCAGCATGGATCATGAGAAGAACAAACACGTCTGAGAGGAAGTGCAACCGGGATGCTCCTTCGAAGCATGGAAGCTGAGACTCGGTCTCATGTCCTCTGGGTGTGTCATCAATCGGGGTCAGTCCCTGGAGAAGGACCTCGTGTGAGTCAAGTCGAAGGGGGCGTGGAAAAGAAGGATTGATACAGCGACTGCCCCAATGAGCTCATTCTAGCTGTAGATTGTCTGGGGTGGTTTTGATGTTTTCACAAGTCTCCCACTTACTGAGATCTCTTTTGGTTCCTTGCAGTAATGTGTTGTCGTTTTCTTTGTATACGTCTTTTGTTTTTCTGAGTATGTTTATTTCAGAATATTTCGGCTTTTGGATGGTTTTCCTGGTTTCCTTTTCGGAGTTCTCCTTGTGAGTGTAAAGGAATTAGATGGATTTTTGTATATTGACCTTGCCCTTGGGCATTATGTTGAGTCTTTAAATTAGTTCCCGCAATTTTCTTGCTGAGCTTACTTTATTTTATTTTCTACATTTAGGATCATACCCACAGAGAGAGTTTTGGTTCTTCTTTGCCAATTTGCATGCCTTCAATTTCCTTTTGTTGTCTAAGACTTCCAGGACAATACTGAATAGGCTTCTTTGTCTGCTTCTGGTGCCTAAAGAGAATCCTCTCCATTTACAGTAATGCTGACGGTTGGCTTCGGATATACACCCTGAGTTATGTTGAGGATTTTCCTTTCCATTTCTGTTTCGTTGAGGATTTTTATAGGGAAAAAGTGTTGGATTTTGTCAAATATCTTGTGAATCAATTTATATGATCATATGGTTCTATTCCTTGTTGTTGTTTATGTGGTGGATTATTACCTTGATGGCTTTTCTAATATTGAGTCATCTTTGAAACCCTGGTATGGATGTCTTTTGGCTATGATGTAGTATTATTATTTTTGGTATGTTATCAAAATCTATTGGTAAGGATTTCACTGAGAATTTTTGTGTCTATATTCATGAGGGATACTGGTATATAATATTTTTACTGATAGCTTTGCTTGGTTTTCTTCCAAGTTATTTCTAGCTCCATAAAATGAATTCAGTAGTATGCCCTCCTTTTCTGTACGCTGGAAACGTTTGAGTTGAGTTAGTGTCTACTCTTCTCTGAGAAGAATTTTCCAGTTGAGCCATTTGAACTGGACTCTTGGTTGTTGTATAGGCTTTCTAAAATGACCCGGTCAATTTTTTCTTCACAGTGGGTCTGTTTAAATTTTCTATGTTAGTTCCAATTGGTTTAGGTAGGTAGTGTGTTTCTAGAAATTTGTCGATTCTAGATTTTCAACTTTGTTGGAATGCAGTTCTTCATAATATTCTGTTATTCCCTTTATTTACGTAAGTTGTATTCCATACTGCTTGTTTCATTTATGTGTGTTATTTGCCTCTTCTCATTTTTCTTTGTTAGATTTGCCGGTGTTTTTCTGATTTTGTTAATCTTTTCAAAGAACTAACTTCTAGTCTTGTTGATTCTTTATATATTTTTTTCTGTTTTATTTATTTGCTTTCCAGAGATAGCCCCTTTTTGTCTGTGAGATTGTATTATGAAAAATTCAACTTTCACTCATAAAAGTTGAAAAGTTTCACTCTGACTTGAAAAAAAGAGGAACCAAAATCAGCACTGTAACCCAATGTCTCCAACCTTGAGAGAAAGAGCAGCAAAGCAAGCCACAGGTAACAGAGCAACAATGAGAGCAAGCAGTGGGCACAAGCCGCTGTGCTGGAGAAGAGGAGGCTTGGAAAGCCCATAAAGAGTCACAGTCTCGGAAACTCACAAGGGAAGTTCTACCCGGTCTCTAGGGTAGTGAGGCTTCCCCCCGAGTGTTAAAAAGAGTAGTCTGTGGGATGGCACAAATGGTTAAGTGCTAAGATGCTAACAAAAAGGTTGGAAGTTCAAGTCCATCCAGAGGCATCCTGAATGAGAGTCCTACTTCTGAAAACCAGTCACCGTTGGGGCACAAGTCCATTTTAACACTTACAGAAGTTGGAGCTGACTAGATAGCAACTGGTCTGATTGGAATGTTTGTGCGATCCAAATATGGACAAGGTTTGATGAGAGACCCCACGAGGGTCTCATCGTCCATTCTTGGGGGTTAGGATGGTGAGCCTGGGAAAGACCATGTCTGGGCTGACCCTTCAAGAATGGGTTCACATTTTCCTGGTAAAAGGAGGAAGAGGTCCTCCAGGTTAAAGGAGATATTTGAGAGGGAGGTACAGAGGGGAATACAATTCCTTCATTACCTCGTGTTTTAAAGTATGTTGTTGTTATTGTTGTTAGATGCCATCAAGTCAGTTCTGACCCATAGTGACCCTGCACACAACAGAACCAAACACTGCCCGGTCCTGCGCCCTCCTCACAATGGCTCCTGTGCCCGAGCCCCTGGCTGCAGCCACGGTGTCCGTCCATCTTGTTGGGGCCCTTCCTCGCCTTCTTCGCCCTTCAGCTTTACCAAATATGACGTCCTTCTCCAGAGACGTCTCTCCAACAATATGCCCAAGTACAGGAGACGAAGTCTCTCCATCCTTTCCTCTCAAGGAGCATTCTGGCTGTACTTCTTCCAAGATAGATTTTAAAAAAATATAGACAGTTAATATATAATATGGTTTCCACTTCAAAGGAAGCCTCACTGTTCTCTAGATGAGTGGAAGCCCATAATGACATTAACAATCACCTCTTAAAATGCTGAGATTCTAAGATTCCTCTCATTACATTTATTAATGTCCCTTGGTTTTCATTAACTCGCTGGACATCATTTAGAGCTAAGCAAGCAATCGCCTTCTGCACCAGAGCTCTTTCAGAAATAAAACTCAAATTCTACCACGATGATAAGAAAAGGAGTAACTGGTAGAATACAGTTTTTAATGAAAACCGATGCTACAAATACAGAAGCAAAGGTGAACTGTTTTAGCATCTGACTAATTACATTTATGAAACTAGCTTACGGGTTGGTTCTAGCGAAAATACCAAATTTCCCCTTACGTATAATGTGCCACATTAGTAACCGCTTTTCCTTATTCTGTCCATTTCCCCCTTTCAATAAGTCACAAAGTCCTTTAAAAAAGAAACGAAATATTCTGCTGCTCCAAATACGGTATTGTCAAACAAATACTGTGTAGAAGTCTCAGCTTTACTGCTTTGGGGGTGTCATTTTGTATTATTCAGTCCACAATCCTGGTATTAATTAGCTTTCCTGTGTCACCTAACACTAACTTTTAGCACATCTGTTACAGCCATGACCCACCAATTCACAGACCTCTTATCCTGCAGAAGGAAGGTCTGGAAGACTACTTTCAACATCTCACCCACTGAGCAGTCTGTGGAGCACAGCTGTACACTCACACACACACTGGGGTCCCCATGGGTCAGGGGGGACTTCACAGCAACTGGGTTTTAATGGGATCAGACTAGTGAGAACGCCAACGAGCCACTGTCTTGAATGACTCTCCATTTCTTCATTCCAAATGGACTCCATCACAGTTCTATCTTAGCTTGACTATTAAACCGTGGCTTTGCTTCTCATTCATGATCCTCACTTTGACTTTCTAGGGCTTGTGTTGATATCTAGCCACCCTGGCTAAAATCCCTGAAGCCCCTGACCCAGAACTGTCCTCTGAAAAATGTCAACAGTGGGCCACTTTGGATGGACCAACTTGCATCTTCCTGTCTCTTGGACTCCTATCCCAAGTTTAGGGTGGTGTCTTAGCCTAAACAATCATTCATTGGGCACATGCCGGTACGTATTGACTGGCTCATTACATACAGCAATATGCTAAGCAATGACGTAGCTGAAGACCAAATAGTCAGGGACCCTGGCTTGAAAGAATGTCAGACGAATCAACCAGCTCAGCTTCGGGGGTAAATGTTAGCAGTAGGGGCCAGTCTTCCTGAGGGAAATATTGGTAAGTGAGCATCTGAAGAGAGAACAAAAACAATGCAGGGAAAGACAGAGGGAAAGAAGATCCCAGGCAGCAACGACAGCAAAGAAAAAGTCCACAGGTGAGAGAAGTCACAGTACGTCTACTACTCTATGACACAGAAAAAACACAGCACGCGCGCAAAAAAACACCACACTCTCGAAAACACTGTCCAAAAAAAAAGAGAGAAAAACTCCCCACACCCGCGCTTGAGAAGAGCGCTCACAACACACCCCCCACAAGACACATCCGCTCTCACACGGCCACACCCCGGGGGTTCCCACAAAACCCCGCCAAAACAACACACAACATGGGTTAACTCTTCTCCCGGCTTCCTTTTTTTTTAATTGTTCATCTTTCACAAGCATGTGAGTTGACTGAAGATTCCATGGATTGGGCCAGGCAACTGGGGTTTGCAAATTGATATCTTTGCTTTCCCTCGTCTTAAAGAGGCCTTTGGCAGACTTTTTCCTTGCAATAAATAGATTGATTGACTGACGCCCCCACCCACCGGCATGGAGCGAGCACAAGAAAAAAGAAAGAAAGAGAGAGAGAGAGAGAGGAGGGGACAAATGAGAGGCAATGGATACTTTTAGCTCCCAAGCAATTGGTCTTTGATTTCTTGAGGGCAACTACACATTGGTCCTCTTCCTTCAATCTCTGTGAGATTCAACTGCATCCTTGCAATAGACATTTTGCTCCTCCCGCTGACTTCAATGGTCCAGTATATCCTGGAACCGAATGAACTTGATTTGAAACACTCTGTCCTGTGGTGATAACTGTTCCCGAAAGTCAACAGAGCCTGGTCTTCAGAAAAGCCCTACTTGGCCTGTTCATAAACAACCATGACTTATTTCGAAGCAAGTCAAGATGTGTTCATTAAGCACAACTGCTCATGGAACACACAGGTGCAAGGCAGCTGGATGAGATGTCACTCACCCACTTTCAATCTGCCCGTGACCTCTCCTTCAGAATTTCGGGCATTCACTGTCACGTTCTGAGTTGATTGCAGGAGCAGGGAGGAGTCCTAAATCAAGAGGATGCACAAGGTTAGCAAAATAATATGCTACTTACTATGTGTATGTCTTTATTTTGCACACGAATTTAGGGATTTCATAAGCGATTTTCTCCATAGTCACAGAAACTGTGGTTCTATAAACATGTGACTAAACTTATAAAAAAACACAAACTTTGGGGTAATATTATACTAAGGGAGTGAACATTTGAATAAGTTCTCCCCACCCCATAAAATATAATAAACCCTGTGGGCTTATAGTGGTTTTGATTTCAAAACAAGTGTTCTACCTGTAAAAAAAATTAAACTTAATTTATTGTTTTTGATTTTGAGAAAAACACACAGCAAAGCATACACCAAAGCATACACAAGTTTACATTTATAATTCAGTGAAATAGATTGCATTTTTTTAGTTTTGAAGCCATTCTCACCCTTCTTTTATGCATTAGTACATTTAACTTTTAATCAAGGCATTTTATTTTCCAGTAAATTAAAATTTCAATTTGTGTCCAAACTCAAACCAAATCCACTGCCTTTAAGTTGATTCTGAGTCACAGCAACCCTAAGTAGTGTTCCAGAGACTATATATTATCAGGAGAGCAGACAGCCTCATCTTTCTCCCGAACAATGGTTGGTAGGTTTGAACCACTGACTTTGAAGATTCTCTGCTCTTTTCTGCCTGCTCATTTTTGTCCTGGGGTAAAATGTTTCCCTGCCATCTATATCCTTGGGCAGTCATTCCTCATGAATGTCACTGCTCATTTTGGAGGCCGGTCTCTTATTTGGCTAAGACGTGGCCTCTGGGGGTGACTTCTGTTCCGTGTTAAAGGATGAGTTAGGGCCAGCATCTCGAGGGTTCCTCCAGTCTCTGTCAAATCAGCAAGTCTGGTCTTTTTTAAACTGAATTTGGGTTTTGTTTTACACTTTCCTCCCATTATAACTGGGACTTTCTACTGTGCCCCTGGACAGCTTGGTTGGTCGCAGTAGCTGGGCACCCCCGAGTGCTTCTGTTCTCAAACTGACAGAGGCTGCAATTCACGGGGTCCTTTTGTCCTTTGGACGAATTGCTGCCTTGCGTCTCTGGTTGTATTCACTCTCCTTGGCTCTTGGTAGGAGGAGATGAACGATTGTGTCAAGTGGCCTCTTTACGCTTTTAAGACTCCAGATATCACTCGCCAAACAAAGATGTAGAGCATTATCATTTTTAAAAAAGATCACTTTAGAACATTATGCATGTGCTATGCCAATTGATCTAGATGTCCCCTGGGACTATAACCCTTAGCCCTCAAGTCCAATAGCTCAGTCCTGAGAGGCCTTTGGTTATGTCTAATAAGTTTCCATGGTTGGGCCCCCTATGTGCCCTATAATATATGTAGTACATACAAATCTGCATGTAGAAAAATCCACAGCCATATCTATATATGTATGTGGGGTTAGCCCATAGGAACTAAAGTGGAGTATTCTTAACTTTATTAGAAAGTAATATGAGAGATTAGTACCACAACCTAACAGTCAAACTTTTATAAAGAATCTGTCATGAATGTTTGTACACGTACATGCTCTAAGATAGCTCCTACAAAGTACATTTATTTGCTATTTAAGCATTATTTTTCCATAAAGCATAAGTCATCGATATATCTCATAATTTACTTACCATTCTGGAGCGTATTTCTCTGACATACAATGGGAACAAAAATTCTGATTCCCCTTCTAGGCGAAGTCCATCTTTTGTTACAAGCAAATGACCCATTCCTGTCTATTAAAAAGAGGAGACAATAGAGATTAAAAAATATATATTTGCTCCCCTTCTTTTACTTCTCTTGGTAGCAACCTAAATTATGAATGCATTTAAAAAATAGATCTCCTGACAGGAATGATTTTCTATATCTCCTAAATATCTTATTTAAAATTCGAGTTGCTTTTGTTCAACATTCAATATTTTATAAAATATTGTACAAATACAAAGGGTTATTTAGAAAACATGTAAGATTTATATCATCAATTTACAACAGACACTCAAGAATCCACTGTTCAGTTTAAGAAAAATAATCTTATTAAAAATGTAAAACTTTACTGATGGTTCCCGGCTATTAAAAGATATAGAGTCTGGGGTCTTAAAGGGTCGAAGTTAAATAAGTGGCCATCTAGCAGGGAAGCAACAAAGCCCACATGAAAGAAGCACACCAGCCTGTGTGATCATGAGGTGTCGACAGGAGCAAGTATCAGGTATCAGAAAACCCCAATCAAATATTCATGTCGATGTGAATGAGGGGTATCAGAGTGGAGATGCAACAGCCACCTGTAGACAATTGGACATCCCCTCATAGAAGGGTCACAAGGAAGGGATGAGCCAGCCAAAGTGCAGTTTAGCACCGATGAAACACACACATTCTTCTAGCTCTTTAATGCTTCCTCTCCCCCACTATCATGACCCCAGTTCTACCTTATAAATCTGGCTAGACAGAACATTTACACTGGTACAGATAAGAGCTCCTGACACACAGAAACCAAGGCAGATAAACACCTCAAGAACAATAATGGTAATAGAGATACCATGAGAGTGGGGGGAGAAGGGGCAGCCGATTGCAATGATTGATGTATAACCTCTTCTCCACCCCCTGGGGGGATGAACCACAGAAGTGTTGGTCAAGGGGGAGAGCTGATGGTACAAGATATGAAAATAATAGTAATTTATAATTTACCAAGGGTTCCCAAGGGTGGGAGTGGGGGAGGGAGGGAAAAAAGAGGAGCTGATACTAAGGGCTCAAGTAGAAAAAAAATACTTTGAAAATGATGATGGCAACATATATACAAGTGTGCTTGATAAAATTGATGTATGGATTATTATACGAGTTGTAAGAGCCCCCAATAAAATGATTTATTTTTTTAACAAGTAAAACTTTAAAGTTATTTTTAAATATAAGCTTTAAATGCAACAAAATGGAGCTCTGGGAGGGCCTACAGTTACAAGAAGGAACCTCAGTGGGACAATGGTTAAGTATTCAACTGCTAGTTGCAAGGTGGGAGGTTCAAACCCATCCATTAGCTTCTCTGAGGAAGAAAGATAAGGTAATTGGCTTCTTTGAAACCACGGGGGATGGTTCAAATCCATGTTATAGGATTCCTGTGAGTCAGCATCGATCCGACAGCAGTGGTTTTCCCACCTAGAAGACCAGCTCCACAGTGCTCCTTTTCCAAAGAGTTTTGTTGGCACTTCCTCCACCTATCATACAATTCAATAGATCAATCACGTCCAGAGTTGTAAAATCATGACATAGCACATTTTAGAACATTTTCTTCTTTCTTATACTCACCAGTATTCGTGTACTTTTTTCTACTGTGGCAAAAATATACACAGCAAAACATTCGTCAATTCAACAATGTCTACATGTATAATTCAGTGCCATTGATTATACCCTCCATGTTGTACAGCCATTATTGACATTTTTTCCAAAGTGTTCCACCACCATTAAAATAAACCCGATGTCCCCTGAGCAACATCTCTCCCTCCTTCATTCATGGTAACCATGGGTCAAGTTTGATTTCTTTTTTTTTTTAAGTAGTTTTCTTGATATAATTTTCACATCTCATACAGTTCCATAGTTAAATCATTTTTAAAAAGTTATATATACTTCATCACAATCCATTTTAATGTTCCCTTCCCCTTCCCGCATTCGTTGATTGCTCCCCAATCCCCTTCCCCCACCATCCCTGATAAACCATTGCATCAGATTATGTATCTATGCACTTCTTCCTTCCTCTTTGAATATTTTGAGGAGGTCCTGATCAAGAAGAGAATGTGCTTTGTACCCAGAAGTCCTGCCCTGAGAACCTCTTAGACCCAAATAAAGTGGCACTTCCTCAAACAACTGGGAATGGAAACACCCCATGACCCAGAAATCCCGCTGCTGTTACATGTGCTGCAGAAATATGGAACAGCGATGTGCACAGATACACAAGGGGTACCAAAAATAAAACAAACTGGACTTGCACTTGGTGGAGCAGAGTTTTTGTAGTACTCATTTTCCCCGCTAGGCAATCATCAAGCAACTCACTCTGAGTTAGTGCACACAGTGTCCTTGCCTGGGAAGGTTCTCTCTGGTCCCAGTGAAATTTTTTTTTTGTAAAAACAGTTTAGCTCGAGCCTTATTTTTTGGTGATGGTCGATTTACGAGAACAGTGTGTGGCTGCGAAAGTTTGTTTCCTGACGGGAAAAATGCCACAGAAACTGTCATGATGTTGAACACAGCGCTACGGGAAATAATCAAGTGTACAACTGGTTTTCTCATTTCAAAAAAGGTGAAATGCTAATTGATGACAAACTTCGTTCTGGACGTCCATCAACTTCCCGAACAGATGGAAATGACAGCAGTCCATCGAAGAGATGGAGAAGTTCTCTGGACCATCTTGGAGCTCAGTTCAGCGAATTCAGTGTAATGGAGAGTATTTTGAAGTTGATAAGGTTGCTTTGTAAAAATATTTAAATACATATCTTTGGAAAAAAAATTCCAGATTTTTTTGAGTACCCCCTTGTATATATGTCTTGTATTAACTTTGAAGGATATTAAAACCTCGAACGGTTTTTTTCTAGAAGAGCGGTTCTCAACCTGTGGGTCGCTACCCCTTTGGGGATTGAACGACCCTTTCACAGGGGTCACCCAATTCATAACAGCAGCAAAGTGACAGTTATGAAGTAACAATGAGAATAATTTTATGTTTGGGGGTGGGGTCACCACAACATGAGGAACTGCATGAAGGGTCACGGCATTAGGAAGGTTGAGAACCCCTGCTCTAGAGGAACCTCTTTAGTACAGAGTTCTGCATTGCTTCCCATTAATAATTTAAAAACTGTAAGCATGAACTAAGGATCCCTGATGTTGCAACAGTTAAGCAATCAGCTGCTAACCGAAAGGTTTGTAGTTCCAGCCCACCTATGGACGCCAAGGGAAAAAGACCTGTGGGTGGACTTCCACACAGATGGCAGCTGGTCTACCCTGTCACATGGGGGTGGCAGGCGTCAGAATGGACTCAACAGTGCTCAACAAGAGCAAGCTCGCCCTTCCGTCTTTCCAGCTCAAGCCCTATGCCTCCCAGCAAAGTTCTCCAATCTGCCCCCATTCGGAGGACTTTCCATTTTCTGCCTCTTTTTATATCAGAGCATCTTGAGGCATCAGCTGAGCTTTGTAGCCCTTGTGAAGCCCCAGAGCCTTGTCCACAAATAAGACACAGTAAATACTTCAGGGTCCGAAAAAAGAAGAAGGCATGAATGAAAGCTTTCATGCGATGCCCCAACTAGCAAAGCCATGTAGCTCACATAATAAAATGAATCTATGTTCTAACACACACATACACACACACGCACACACACACGTTAGATACAGTTTTAGGTGAAATCAGCCATGGCCGAGAGCGTGAACACAGCTTAGTTGATACCCCACGGTGACGGGAAGATTTCCGACTACATGAGTAGGTCTAAAGTTGGTTCTGACTCACAGCCACCCCGTGCACACAGACAGAACAGAGCCTGATCCTGTGCATCCTCACAGTTTCCTATGCCTGAACCCCAATAGGATGACTACCTCAAAAACAAAACAAAACAAATCCCCAAAACGTCGATGCTGATTCACAGTGACTCCCTGTGGACTTCTGAGACTGAAAATGTTTCTGGGAGTAGAAAGCCCAATCCATCTCCTGAGGAGCCGCTGGCAGTTTTGAACTGCTGACCATGCGGACCACAGCCCAATGCATAACCACTACACCACCAAGCCTCCATACGTAGATTATCTAGAATTCATTCATCTCTGAATCAAATC